GCATGCCCCTAGTTAAGTTTTTGTAGAAAGTGTTAGAGCCATGGAAAACCTTTATGGTTGTTCTCTGTGTAGCAGGTGTAATTTTTGAAAATACTGTACTAATTCTGGTTGCCCAGTTGTATGAGGCATTTTTGTATTAGCATTGCACATTCCTAAGTGATGAAGTGCTTGCTGCACAATGTGAGCTGACAGATGAGTTAGAGTTTTCAGATGTTTTGGATATCATGTAGAACAGCACCATGTTGAAAGTTTCCTGCAGCTTACACAGGGTGGTTATAAAACTTACACTAGCTTCATGTACAGAAACCAGTGAGATTCACATGATATTTTTAAAGCAGTAGTTTGTCTGGATATTCTCCTGTGTAATGACTAGACTAGGGCTATACCTGAATCTAGACTTGCAGGTTGTGCCCTTCTGCTGGGGGGAGGGGAATCAAAAGCCATCAGCTGGAGCTAAAGTCAGGCAAGTTGGAAGCTGGTTCCCCAAATGCAAAACAAAGGTGTTGACCAGTCAAGAGAGTTTATGCTGTCTTTGAGTTTCAGGGGCCAGTGTTGGTCTTGAATTTTTCCTTCTCTGCCTGAAGAGGGCTTTGAGGCCTGAATAAGGTATGGGAGAGAAATTCAGTTTCATTCACATTTAATGTGACTCTACCTAATTTCCACTCTCTGAAACAATACGTGAACCTAAATGCAGCTTTCTTTTGAAATTTACACTTCTCTGGATACTGCAGCAAAAAAGAAAAGTGTGTAAAAATGTTCGTATTGTGGGAACATGTGCATAATAATAATTCTGTTAGTAATAGGAAAATTGCTTAGCAAAGTGCATTTTATCAACATAAAAATGTTGATTTGCATTTTCATGACTTTAACATAAAAAATTGCAAACTGTTACTGAAATGTGGTGAGCTGAACTTAAGATTTAAAAATTGACAGATTCATCCATCCCTAGGCCTGAGTTTAGGAACGAACCATTGAAAACTGGAATCCCTGATATCCTTGGATGTTTCCTGCTTGGTTCTGCATTGGGAGCACAAATACTAACCTGTTATAAAGGACCTTGTGAAAACTGTATAGCTGCCAGCTAGCTATCTCAATGTTTTATTCTTTACAAGGAGTGGCATTTAATAAATGAAGTTATTTGGCTCACTCTGTGACCTATATTATCGTTAACTACTCTTTTGTACTTAATGATTCAATTAAATTAACTGAGCCATTTATTAACTGATTCATAATAAATTGATTTATTGCCTGTTTCCTTGTGTATGCATAGCCAAATCACACTAGTTAAGGTCTAACGTTTTACTCAGTTCGTACCAAAAAAACATGCTGCAGCCGTATAGTGCAGTTGCTTCAACTGATTTTCTTGCTGTTCCTCCCTATAAAATTTTTCTGAACTTCACATTGATGACGGGTCCAATTTATCTACAGTCAATAAATATATGCATGTATGGATTATAGTTTTATTGTTTAGGTAGATTTGCTAAATAGGATTTTTGTACCTTTTTTCCTAACATATTTAGATTTGGCTGTTAGAAAACAAATGCCATAGCTTCCTGAGGAGAGAATTGTTGAGGCATTAGCAGGCAGGTTTTGCCTCAGAGCTATTGCACCCTGCCCTGCAGGAAGCTGGGTTGGTCCCATGGTGCTGTCACTTTTGAACTACTCAGCTGTGTACTGGAATGTAGTTTCTTTGAGAATGAAAGGGTTTTTTCAATAGGCATTCTTTGGCTGCTCTTTACCATTAGCATGTAGGCAAATTATTCACTCCTTAGTTGTGAAACACTCTTCTCCTAAAGCACGTCGGAATTCAAGCCTGCAAATCTTCCAAAAATGCCAACAGTCTTTATTATTTGGGCTAGAATTCAACAAGTTAGCTGGGGGGGGGGGTTGTGTGTGTGTGTGTGTGTGTGTGTGTGTGTAATCTAATGTTTACACAATGCTTAATAAAAAGCTATCAGAAGGAAGTTTTCGAAAAGTTGAAAAGGGGCTATTGGCAATATTTCCTGCTTGAGGAGAGCTACAAACTAAAGCATGTTTATAAATATTAGTCTTTCACCAAACGCCATTACCTTCCAGTTCAAAGCTTGGTTTGCAAATGTTGAATCAGAAGGCAGCCTAGCTGTATGTGCCTTTTTTTCTTGCCAGTGACACACCATCCTTAGTAGTACATAATACATGTGTTAGTGCCATTCTGTAATTGTGGACTACAATTGTGTCAAGTTTATAGCTAGAAATGAACCCAAAAGTCATCCGATGGCTGACTGTCAGCATCATGTAAATGTGTGTGGCTGTTGCCCAAATTGCACAGACAAGCTTTGTGTCCTGACTTTTGTTTGAGTTTGTACAGAAGGTTTAATGCTCTTAGAATTTAGTCAGTGAGGCATGCTTTCCTGCAATCATTTTTTAAAATCTGTTCTGTTTTGCGTCTCTGGTATGTTGGTGTTTAGAGATTAAATGAGACAGAAAAGATCCAGGATGCTTTGTTAGTAGGAGGGGGCAAATTTGATTGTCGTCAGCACTGGGTTTCCATATGGGTACTTAAAAGCATTTGGCTTGCAGATGATTGCACTAAAAATAGCTTTTGAGCAGTTTGCAGCAGGGTCCGATTTCGTGCCTTAGCTGAGTTGGCTGTAAGAAACTTTCTTTGTGGCTGTAGGAAGGCTTACATGAGGGACATTTTTTGCTGATTCTATCTGGACACTTGTTTTTTATATTAAGATTTACTTAATTCATGGATAAAGGACACTGATGCCATGGCTGAAGATTCAGGTATACTTCTAGCAGCTTGGAATACCTACTGTATTTGTGACTCTGGGGGTGAGCAGCAAAACTGTAAATGTATTGTGGTATAACTTTAATCTGAACATTAAATAGTTTAAAAATTATTAATATTTGGGATTTCCTCTTCCTAGCTGTATAGCTTTATGAAATAGATACAATGCAAACAATGAGATTTATTTTTGACTAGATATATACAGTATTTATGACTTCATGTCTAATTAGAAGCATATCTCACTTTTGTTCAGTAGGGCTTAATCTCATGTAATAAATGGATTACATTTTGTCTTCAGATTTTGACAGTGGGTGCCATTTTTTTCTACTTGAATCTAGAGAATGAACAGAGATCCCTTTATAGAAAATGGGGCATATTAAACCCGAGGTGAATGAATATTCACGAAGACCTAGTTCTTCACATTATTTTATGAGCTTTGAAAGTGCAGCACTGTGTTTTACATGACTATGGGATCTGTATAGACATATGGTAGGTGAAAGTAAAGGCTTACCAGATTTGGAAATTGACCTACTTTCTACATGGCTGGCAGTTTTTGCGTGCAGGGCTGCATCCTTGATTTCGTTTTCTGGAATGAGTTTAAATTGGTATATAAAATATGCTTTTAGCTCTCAATTGGCTCTTAATTATAAAATGTCATATGATAAAACTTAAAGGGGAAAAAAGATAAGGTTCTGATTAGCATAGCTCAGAGGAGTCTAGCTGCTGCTTGCAGTTAAAGCTTCACATCACAAATTGTTTCACATTGGTTCTTGAGTGGTATGTGTTTGCATAGCAGTCAACAGTGCTTCACAATTTCAAAAATAAATGTTTATAATGTGGCATTTTCCATGAAACTGAGTTTAAGTTTTTGCTAAATGTCAGGGGGAACTATCTGCTGCTGAGATCATTTTTACTTATATAGACTATGAAATGTCAGTTGCTAAATACTATATTTGTCTCTGCTTTGGACTCTACATTGTAAGTGGCTTCACTATCCATGAAGCTGCTGGATCCAGTAGTGTGCTATATTATATTCCCATGACTTGTGCTACAGAAATATTTAAATATATTCATCTGTAACATGATCAACTACTGTATATAATACTTGATGCTGCCCCTAATGACTGTTTAAGGTCAGGCTGAATGTGGAGAAGCTACTTCCTTGATTCAGTGCTAAATTTCTTAGTGTGCTTTAAAGACTGAGGATTTTTTGGGGGTAGTTTTTCTTCTGGACCCAAGACTCTAGAGTAGAGTGCAATCCTATACATTAGTGACAGCCAACCTGTGGCTCTCCAGATGTTGGACCTCAACCTCAGTCATCCCTGGCCATTGGCCAGACTGGCTGGGGCTGAAGTTGGCATCCACAAATAGCTTGAAGGCTTGGCTACTTCTGCTATACATGTTTACAGAGAAGTAAGTCTCAATGTGTTAATGAGTCTGATTATTTATTTATTTATTTGTTTATTCATTTGATTTATATCTCACCATTCCTCACAAAGGAGCCCAGGGCAGCAAATAACTGTACCGAAATTTTAGCTTTATTTCCACAAGTGAGTTAATAACTAATTCTCTTCTGAAACTAATGGACCTATGAAAAATGGGAGCTGATAAAGTAATGATTACGTTTCTTTGCTAAGTAGCCAAACCTAGGGGTCACCAGTTCTTCATTTTTAAACATCCCCCCCATAGTCCATAAATTTACTAACGTTCTTAGTTGAGTATCTTGACATCTCTGTGATCTTACTTATAATATCCAGTTTAAACACCATGAAAATCAATAATCTTGCGCATAATAAAGAATTATGAGATCTGTTCTAAACAAAATAATAATATAGTATTTACTATTCTGGGTTGGGTTGGATCCCAAAAAGGTGTGTATTACATTCAAGTTAATATGGTAGTCTTTTGCCTAATACCTTTTTTTAAAAAAAGATTTAGGGGTGACACAGAGCTGCAGAGGGATGGAAGAGGCATGAGAATAATGGAAAACAGTTCAAATAATGAATTACAAAATGGGAAACAGGATTTAAATAAAGGATAAGTTTTATCTTTTTATGTTTGATAATTTTAAATGACTTTGATTTAAATTAACCCACCAGGCTTGAATCAGTAGACAGCCTTTTAAATAATTGCATGAAACCCTTGTGTAATCAAATAATATATTTGCAGGAATGTATAATTGTAAGCCTTGCCTTCTAGTAGTAATTTCACTTGCTTTATTTTACAGAAGCAAGACATGGAGGGAACAAGAATGGGAAGAAAGAAGGAATTTCTGGAAGTTCATTTTTTACTTGGTTTATGGTAATTGCACTGCTGGGAGTGTGGACATCAGTCGCTGTGGTTTGGTTTGAACTTGTTGATTACGAGGAAGTGCTAGGTAAGCATTCCAACAGCATTTGAAATGAAGTAATTTTAATATTTCACATTTCCAAATGTCATTCTTTTGCAACTTCAGGATTTTGATTAAGAACCTTGGATCATATCCAGCTCTGTAGCTCCACTGGCACAAGGGACTTTTGTAATACACTTGAACTTCCTCTACCTCTCCTGTCTCCTCTAGCACCCCCTTCACAAAATCAGCTGCAAAGAGTTGAGGGACCCTCAAGAGCAAATTTTAAGGGGGCACAGGGAGAGGAGAGGAAACCCAAGTCTCATTTCCTAATTGAAACTTCACTAGTGCAACATTGGATTTAACCTTTCAACAATTACAGGTGCTTATTCATTGTTCACTATCAAGCACCAGATATTCATGAAAGTCTTGATTTAAAGAGTAAATCATGTAGTTCATCTGTTCAGGTTTTGACAATGTGAATAATGGTCTCTATATTTTTACCACGCATGCAGCCAAAGCAAAGGACTTCCGTTATAACTTGTCAGAGGTACTCCAAGGTAGGATTATAGAGAAATAAACTATGCTTATACTTCTTGGGGTTGAAATACCTGACTGTTGGCATACTGCTGGAGTAAACAAAATATGCTTCATTATTTTATCTTCTGCTACACCCTTCAATCTTTGCTTTCCTTAAGTGGTTTTCAGATTTTTAACCTTATTCAGCTGCTACTCTTTCTTTTAGGGTTGAGTGTTGGTACTTCTTTATTAAGCAAATTTATGAACCACTTGATAGATAAACAAATTCTCCAAGTGTACAAATAATAAAAAGCTCAGGAGTAGGAGTTGGATCGCGTGAACCTCATGTTCTTTGGGGGAAGTGTATGGGCTAAGTTGACTTTCCCATTTTCCTATGAGAGTGGAAAGCTGATATAGGTATCACCTGGCATGCAGCCTGTTCTCTGCTTATCTCTATATGAAGCTGCTTTGGGGCATTTTGCTTCATTTGATTTGATTCTAGAGACTGTTGGAGCTCAGAGCAAATAGAAATGGTGTAACCATTTGCACTTCATGCCAAAATTATCTATAGGATTGAAGTTGGAGGGATGCAGGTGGGTGAGAAGACATTTCAATTGCCTGCCTTTCCCACAATTACCATTAATTTGGTTAAAGTCCACATGTAGTTGTGAAATGGAAGGTAGAGGATTTGGCTATGTGTAAAAGTGTAATTCATGCAATATCCAGACTACAAATATTTTTAAAGTGGTGAGCCTTAAGAACAAAATGTGACTTTTCAGAGCTCTAAATTGCAGATTTTAGCTGATTTATTACAGTGTTTTGACATCATGTGGAAATGAGTAATTGTTTCCAACTGAAATGTAGCCATGAAAATATTAGTATCTGGGAAGGTTAAATAATTATAAAGATTCCATAATAAATTCATTAAAATAAATTATGCAGGGTTGTGTTTAACCAAGTTATACTTTCAGTATACTCTTTGAAATTTATGGGCCCAAGTTAGATAGGTCCAGTAATTACAGTGGGTCTATGCTGAGTAGGATTAACACTGGCTGCAACCCACAATCACTATCTGTTCTGATTAGGCAAGATTCCAAATCTTACGGTTTGCATAGCTGAGAGCATAGCATAGCTGAACTCAAAGAATCAATCAAAGTGGTTTAGAGCTGTTTGCCTGCTTTTGTCACCTGTCTGCTCTGCTTTCCTGTCTCTGGCTATATTGGCCTTTGGAAGCAGAACAATCTCCTTAATGATGGCTTGTCAACTCAGACATCAAGCCAAACCATAGCTAGATTTCCTTTCTTATAGTGCTGGTTTATTACATTGTTTTCAGTATAATAATTGAATGTGTTGCTAGAATTTTCAGTTTCATTCTGGGATATTTTGATTTTTGTTGTTTGGGATAAAACAAATATGCCCTTTGAGCAACCACCTTGGCAGGACTCTGTTTTAGCTTCTTCTCCGCATGACTGTTGCTTCTGCCTTGTTCAATAAGCCGTGGCAAAAAATGAGCTCAAACTATGCTCTCCAGTTTTTAGGATTTTCTAGCAATTAATCTGCTGTATCAGCCAGCTTGGCATGCATTTCTCTGATTGAAATTGCTTCTGCCTAAATTTCTTTTGAGTGTTTAGGGCTATGGCTCTGCCAGTATCCCAAATGCAGCAATTGCAAATTTCCATAGCAGCAGGAATATTTCTATGTTGCATGCATCTGCATTATTCCTGAGTACACCAATATACTGTCTGAAACAGATGCATTGAACGTTGTGTTTGATATGCTGCTTATGAAGTATTGTACCTTTGACATTAGATAGGCAATTTTATTAATAAGCAATCATCATGTAGCACTTAGCAGTAGATTTTTGAGTTCTTTCTTTCTTTTTCTAAAAATACTATTCCAGTAATCTAGATAAATAGTATTTAGTGAACTGGTAGGTGCAATTCTGTTCCTATTAAAAGCCAACACCATAACTTCCATTAATGTGAATGGAGCAGGATTACAGCCATTGTGTCACTTGACTTGCATAGTCATTTCAGATACAAAATTGTTACAGTTCCTTAAACACTAACAAGTAATGAAGTGCTGATTTAGCAATCCAAAAGGATTTCAGATTTGCAGAAAGGTACGCTATATTTTAAGGAGTTTGGTTTGTTTATTTGGAAAAAAGGTATATCATCTCAAAACAGTTAGTAAGCTTGCATTTGTGTTTTGGAATGACATCTTTTATAGAATGTTGAGGCTCATGATTTCTTGCTACATTCCATCACACATTCAACAGATTAATATAGAAATAGATTACTAGATTAGTTTCTTTCTGTCCCTGCTCTAGGAAAACTTGGGATCTATGATGCTGATGGAGATGGAGATTTTGATGTGGAAGATGCCAAGGCTTTGCTAGGCAAGTAGACACTTCTAAAACTGTCTTAAACGTTACCTTCTGTTGCAGCATTAAAGTAATGAATCTGGTTTCCAAAACTTCTCAATATCATTATTTATTATATATATATTTAAACAAAAAGTAACCCAAAGTGTTAAAATAATCACAGTAATTGCTTAATATTGGTGAAATTACATTGCACAGCACAGTGTATTCCTGTAGTCCTGTTGTTTTCTTATACAGTATGAAACATTTAATACGATAAATGTTTAAAGTGATAATATATTTTCAGTGGCATAGCGTGGGGGGTGCAGGGGGGGCTGGCCGCACCGGGCACAACATTTGGGGTTAGGGCAAATCCATGGGTTAGGGGGCGCAAATCCACAGGTTAGGGGGCGCAAATCCACGGGTTAGGGGGCGCAAATTACTTGCCTTGCCCCGGGTGCTGACAACCCACGCTACGCCACTGTATATTTAAAACTTTTTAAGGTACCTGTATAAAAGATTCCTGAGAAACATTGGTCAGAAATCCTAAAGTCCTTAAGCCTATTAAGCTGCCTTGAGTTCCATCAGGGAAAAAGGTGTAAAAGAGCACTGGAACCATTTTATATAGAGAAACAGTAATAGTATACAATGAAAACGAAAACAGAAGAGAAAAGCATAAGATTTAAGAGGGATGAGAACTGATGTAAAGTGTGAAGTTTGATTGTCAAACATACTGAAGCACATAACCCAAGATACAATTGAAGTAGAACTGGAAAGAAGACCTATATAAGGCAAATCAAGAGGAAAAAGTAGCAAGGCATACCTAAAAAGCCAGAAGATTGACAAGACAGAAAAGGATGAGGACTTTGTAAAGGCCATTCTACAGAGTGAGACGTGAGGAAAAAGGGCACTTAGGATAGTGCACCTGATTTGAATAGCTAGGTTGTAAAGGTGAATAGTATAATACTAGATTAGTAAGAGGAATTACATAGGTTGGAAGTGGAATGGGATATTAAGTATAGAAGTGGAGAAAAGACTAAAAGAAGAAGAGAACAAGTCCTGGGACCTTTCTCAAATAAAAATAATTATCTATATCTTGGCATTTGTATGCTATATTGACATGCTGTTTAAAGGCTCTGTGTTGCTTCCTTATGTACAGGGATATTGATTTAACATTCAGATGTTCTCTAAGATCTTCAGCTTGTCTGGGAAACTTAATAAATTTAGTTTCTGTCGCTGCACTGGGCAAATATATTCCTGTGTCTTCAGATACCTAATTCATTTGATCATGTACAACCTTTAACCCAAATTTCTTTTATGTATTCTGACTTGTGATTTAACAATGTACAGATATCATAGAAATCTACTGTATTTTTTGCTCTATAAGACTCATTTTTTCCCTCCTAAAAAGTAAGGGGAAATGTGTGTGTGTCTTATTGTTTCCTGCTTGGCAGGGGGTTGGACTCGATGGCCCTTGTGGTCTCTTCCAACTCTATGATTCTATGATTATGGAGCGAATGCAGGCTGCGCAGCTATCCCAGAAACCAGAACAGCAAGAGGGATTGCTGCTTTGCTTTCACTGCACAGCAATCCCTCTTGCTGTTCTGGCTTCTGAGATTCAGAATTATTTTTTTTCTTGTTTTCCTCCTCCAAAAACTAGGTGCGTCTTGTGGTCTGGTGTGTCTTATAGAGCGAAAAATACGGTATATATTCAGGCACACCCCGAATCTCCTCCGTTCATGAGTCGACTAATTACCTATACAGCATAAACAACCCCCCCAAAAAACCCCTGAGGGGTGATGGAGTGATAATAGGCAGGTGCTATCATTGCTATTTGTGATTAATTCTTTCCCCAGTTTCAAGATTTACATTGCAGAACTTTGTCTATTAAATATGAATAATATGAACAATACTGATTTAGTCGTTCACCAAGATGCTTACCCAATACCTTTACATGCCAAACTTTGGCTTTATGTTAAAAACAATACATAAAGTTTGAGTAGCAGACCTTTGGACAATAAGATGAGCTGTGTGTGTGTGTGTGTGTGTGTGTGTGTGTGTTAGAGAGAGAGAGAGAGAGAGAGAGAGAGAGAGAGAGAGAGAATGCATATTGATTTGTTTGGGCAGGTGTCAGTAATTTACTGGTTCAGGAGCCTAGTCTTTAGTGGTAACATTATTTTGAAACTGACATAAAAAAGAACTGTACAGTTGTAAAGACAAGATCATGCTACTGTTTCATAGATGTACATGTAATTAGATATCAGATACTCCCCAGTCCATGACCATGACTGGTTCATATGAGCAGGATAACGAAAGCTTTGCCCTCCCTCACAAGGTACGTCTATCTCTTCATCTCCTAAAACAGCCTTGCTGGTGTGATTTTAGGGGTGTTACCCTTACTTTATTAATTGCTCATTTTTGTAGTAGTAATAATAATAATTTTATTATTTATACCCCGTCCATCTGGCTCGGTTTCCCCAGCCACTCTGGGTGGCTTACAGCATATATCGAAACATAATAAAACATCAAGCTTTGGGTTACAGACACCCATTTGCTTTCTCCTTTTCTTTCTTCTTCAGTCTGTAGTTCCAAGATAAATGCAATCTGACAGCAGTGTTTTCCCAGTAAAGGGAATAAGCAGCTATAATGGGGATCAAGGTTTTTCTAATTCTCAATCACTGCTTTATATAATTCTGCAAGGAAAAACAACAACAACAAAATCATCCTTTAGAAAGGTCTCATTTCTTGGTTACTGAACCAATATGCTTTTGTGCTTAGGATATGTTTCCAAAAATGGGGGATCTTTGGCAGTGCTAGACTTGCAAATTAAGGGTATGGGGAGAGGAGTTTGTGATGGGTTTGCACCTGCCTGATATGAATGGTTTGCCATATACTGTAAATAATGGGTAGAAGATGGCAGTTTTCTACACCAATAACAAACTGTTAAAAGTGGTTATGAGATGCTCTAATAAAAGCTAGCTTGCTAGGTAGAATGTTGAAGTGCAGGAACATGGCATTTTCAGAAATGCTACCTGTTTCATGCAGAAGGCCAGCAACATGGAAAGATGGGAGGGGTTTGAATGACACGGTAATGTCAGGAAGAATTATTTAGATTTATTAAACATTAGGGAAAACTTTCAGAGAAGCCATGCACGCAAAAGAGAGGGGCTATACTTGAATTACATTGAAACCAGGCTGCTAGTGTTTGAAGTGGTGCTCATAAAGATTGTAGAACAATTTCCCCAAATTTCTTAGGGAAATTGCTCAGGCTGGAGCACATCCAGTTTGGGATAACTCTTACCTTAGAGAGCTGCTATATCAAGAGATCACACTCTTTATATAATTCTGTGGCAATTTATGAACTACAAAATGATACAAGTTGTTGAGGCACCTTTTCTGTGAGGAAAGGCTACAGCTTTTGTTGCTTTTTGCATAAGCATGTGTTTAATCCTCTCCCCATTAGTGGCCCATAATAATCAACCATCTTGGCAAGGTCAGTAGTAGGAATATGTCTTTGTCAATATTTTTTAAATTTCTTCAAATGGTTTGTTTCTTGGGTGCTTATTAAAACTTTCACATTTCTTTTTTACTAATTTTCTTAACCATACTGTTTTAGATTGCTGATCATGAAACAGGCTCTCTTAAATCCTTCTACTTCAGTTTCTTTTTTTCCACCTAACTGCTACCTTCTCTCTCTCTCTCTTTCCTTTTATTCTTGTGTAGGCTTGACCAAAGATGGCAATAATGAAAATATTGATTCACTTGAGGAAGTCCTTAATATTTTAGCAGAGGAAAGTTCTGATTGGTTTTATGGTTTCCTCTCATTTCTCTATGATGTAATGACTCCTTTTGAAATCATAGAAGAAGAAGAGAGCGATGCTGCAGATGATGTTGATGGTACGTCACAGAATGAAGGGGTTCAGGGAAAAAAGACATGTGTTATTGTGGATTTACAGAACCAATGACTTTAGTTCAGGGATCAAGTTTAATTATCAAAATGCCACAGGCTACTGGGGTAAAACCTGATGTAACCCCTTACCCTCAATGGACATATCAGCCATGTGATGTAATTCACTTGTCAAAAAGCCTTTTTGAGAGAGAGACTGGGGTAAGACAAAAGTGTCTTCAGTAGTATGATTGGTTTCTGTATGGCTTTGTGTCAGTTTGTGCTTTCTTACACTAACTTGTGCTGTGTATTCTTAGCACTAACCTGCACAAGCTCTATGGTAGTAACCTACACTATTAACCCTTAAATGATTCACCTTTCTAATAAAGTGTTAAATTGCTATAGACTATTCTGGCATGATTGACAAATTATGTATATATTTATATTTTATATTTTAAGATTCTGCCTACTATTGCATTAAATAAGAAAACTATTACTGAAATTATTTGAATTTGCTACCGATGAGTATTCCTTAATTTTATAATTTATTACATGCTTTTACAGACTTATGGAGCAGAATACTGAGGTTACTCAAATTTGTTATGTTAGTAAATCCATTTACTATATGAAAGAAATAGCATGCAATTGTTGTATATTTTGAAATGAAGCTTTCATTCTTATTTTCTTTATATACTATTTTATCTCTTAAAGGCAGATTTGTTTGTAAAAATTTAGTGGACATTTTTTGAAAGCGAGAACCTGTAAATATGTATTTCTCCTGTAATATTCAACTAATTAAAGCTGATAAATGCAAACTGTCTTTTATGTCTTGCTAAACTGAATGGCTGACTCAGATTTGCTTTTTGATTTTTCTGCTCCGCCGCACCCTCCCCCCATCTCATAGTGAAGGGACTGATTATACAAATGCCTGAGTTCAGCAAGTTTCCATGCCCAGCTTTGTGTGGAGCAAATTAACCTTCTAGAACAGATATGTGTGCAAAATTTTGTGGTGTGTGTGTGTGTGTGTGTGTGTGTGTGTGATAAAATCTAGTGCCTGTATTTCATGCACACTGCTGAATAAGACTTAGGCTTGTTTGATCTGATGTTGCTGATCAAACCTTAGACTGCAGTCCTTTACACACTTTTCTATAAGTAGCAACCATTGAACTCAATGGAGCTTACATCTGAATAAATATGTATAGAATTGCACTGTTTGTCTCAGAATTAGCACATTTGATAGAAACTTTCATGACTCATAAATGTGAGTGTTTAAGTAAAGTGTTCAAGTAAAGTCTACAGCCTGAGGAAGAATTCTATGGATTTTCAAAGCTTGCCTGACATAATATTGAGCACATAATGTGAAAAAGCTACTTTACATTTTGCACAAACTTCTGCTTTCTTTGCTAAGGCAGCAATGTGTAAATAATTTGCAGAAGATGCACTTTGCATTTTATTTGTTCCAAATGAAAATACCTGAGCTGAACCCTGGATTTCTGTGACCATCCTCAACTGTATCTGATGCAAAGCAAGTCCATATCTTGTAAAATGGTTGGGCATAACTGTTGTAGAAATATATTAAAACAGTGGTTTTTTTTATTGATAAATGATATATACTTTGTATGTTTAGCCACAGTGGAATAAATTAATGATAACTTTTGGATACCACAGTATCGTAAGAAAAGAACTTGAAAATCTTGAAGAGCTTGCAAGGAATATACCTTCATTTGTTTGGAGTTATCTTCGCTAAAAGTAGTTTTGTATACCTGAGAGTATGAGTTAGAAGTTATTTAGTTGAGACTGATGAAAAGGGCAGTTACTCATAAAATGGCATCCAATAACTCAGGGCTTTGTGGGGCAAAACATAGCCTTTGTCCTTTTGTCACCAGATGTTCAGCAAGAAATTTCATTTTCTTTTCAGTTGCCTTTTCTGTTCTTTGCGGTGGGGTGGGGTATGTAATTTGAACAATTGTTTCAGTTTTGAAGCAAAGGTGAGGAAGTGGAGATTTCATTGGTTTTATTTATTTTGCTAAACTTCAGGCTCTTCTAAAATAATAGATTGCTATAGCTGACCCAAGGCTATAATATAACAGATTTCAGACCCTTTATTATTGGTGGCTAAAATTTAATTCTTATTGGAAATGGGTTTCACAGTTATAAACATCTGAGCAGGACCATATAAATAGATGTTAAACAAAATTTGTATTCTATTATATAATAACAGCAATAATGGTTCAGCTGTGGAGTTTATTTCAGGGACTAGATTAGTGATTGTCTTTTAAAAAAATGTATTCGTAAGATTTGCTTGTCTGAATGCTTTGTTAACAAGTTTGTTTTTTTATTGCCCAATGTTTTTAAAACTTCTGGACCTTTAATACCACTTCCACATTCCTTTGGTGATGAAATGGTAAAACTTCAATCATGTTTGAGGTAACCTTGTTTATGATCTGATCTAAAGTTCATTTGTTTTTTGCTTTTTGTATAAAAAGGAAATAAAGGGAAATCATATAGGTTTGAATCCAGAGAAATGCTGGTGGAAGAGGATGGGTGAAAGGTGACTTCTCTCTCTCTTTGTCCCTACAAAAGTTTTTCCTGAGGTGTACATTGCTGAATGGAGTAGGCTGTGACACGCCAGATTAAGTGGGAAGAGGGGGATTACTGAAAATTGGGAGGAGGCATCTTCTGTGAGGCTATTTTTCCTTTGCACCCAGCATAAAAATAAGCAGGCGGGCAGAGGAGGCTATGTTAGCCTGCTATATTACTAGCCTACATTTATTGCTTGCCTGCTTCTTATTCATAAAAGAGGACTAGAAGAGGTGGGACCAGAGTGCTACTCCTATGAATAAAAACCAGACTTAGTAATTATTTTTGTAGGCTATTAACTTTTATGGGCTTATCTTCACAGCTTGCTAAGGTCTTTGAGAGCATGATATTCAAAAGAAACCAGTAACTTAATAGCATATCACTGGATCTTTTCAGTTTAGATCTACAGTTTATATCTAGTACAGTATTTTGAAATCTTCTTTCAATCACCATGCTTGTTATTTTATTTTATCTTTATGCTCCACCTTCCTACCAAAGCACTCAAGATGGTTTTCAGTTTAAAATAATGTCTTCAGTCTCAGGTACATGTATCAAATGGAAGGAAGAAGAAAACAGGCAAGCTCAAATATCAACCCATTCACACTCTTGCACTCTGTAATTTGAGAACTGGTTGAATAATGAAGTTATGCGGTGACAAGGTAGAATGGTCATTGCAGTAGGCACTTTGGGGAAGGAAGGAGCCGAATGGTAGTTCCCAGTCAGCTAAGGCAGGGAGCCAATCTGCCTCAATTTACCAACTAAGACAGCCAGGTAGCATGTTTAGGAGTAGACGTTAGTATTCAGAAGTAATAGTTCTTGTTCATTTGGAAAACCAGTCCCAAATCTCCTTTTATATGGTTAGTACCTGCATTTGTTCATGACCCACTTCACTATAGCATTTTGAACTTTGTCTACCTCAGCAGCAGTTACACATGGTTTTCTGTTGCATCTGAGTTTAGAAAGTTTTAACTAGCTTTAGTTTCCTACCAAGCCAGGATATAAATACATGTTTTAAAGTTTAAATACATGTTTTAAAGTTTGCTCAATATGAGGTCTTCATTTGGAGCCATTAACCGTTGTTTCTTAGTTTGGACATAATAGAAATCTTCCTAGCTTGCTTCCCCACTTGCACAAAGGAAAGAGTGAAGTGGCTCTGTGCAAGTGTGTGAACCTTGTTCAACTTTGGATTATTAAGCTGAAGTATGATATTCCAAATGCATCAATTGTGGTAGTTTTAGTCTAGTAATATATGCTGAATACAAATATCATTCATAAAATAAGTAAGAGTAAAGGATATTCATACTGGGGGGAAACAAGCTTTCATTTTTGTGATGTAACAATTTTTTAAACATGTTTCTTTTTTCTGCAAAGTGAAGTCATTTAAAAAGTTTTGTGACTCAAGTGTTCCTTAATTTAAGTCTTATAGTAACATGGCCACAAAATGTTCCACTGAACTAATGTATGCCATACTTAGGTACGGAAGATTCTTTCACATGAATCCATATGTTTGGAAACAGATAAAATATTAAAGCATAAGATAGCATCCTATTAGTTTATGCTTTCCCATACTTGGTGTTACATAATCCAAACAGCACTTTTTCATAATTGATAGTTTAGCTTATGAGCCAATTACCAATGAAAAAATCCTATTTGGAATTCTCTTTGTTTTTGCGATACATCTTTCACTTTCTCTTTGAGAACCACCAGTTAGAAAACCCATACAACAGTATTACTGATTTTTTCCCATTAGACACACACACACACACAGAGAGAGAGAGAGAGAGAGAGAGAGAGAGAGAGAGAGAGAGATGCTGTTCTCGGATCAATTGAGATGGTGATGACTAATAGAGCTCCCCAAACTGGAGAGCTTTAAAAGCCAGAATAAAAGCAAATAAAATAAGACCATAGATAACAAGATTGCAATACACTAAAAGTCTAATGGAATAAAATGTATTTACCACCCTCTCATCAGAATGGAATTTCGTTACTGGGGTACTGCTATAGAAATGGTCCTTTCCTGTGACCTTACCAATTACAGCTTTCATATTTGATGAAATGAGAGAGACTGGGCCTATTATACCTGTGTATGGCTTATTTTGAAAGCTTTGTTTAATGGAACACTTCCAGAAAATAGAACAGTCAGGTCTAAGTATTTTTTAAGGTCTGATGTAATTTTGGTGCTGTTTTATACTGGGTCATCTCTCTCCCCTCCCCCCATGTGTATAGCATCTTAAAGACTTAAAATAATGTTTGTAACTTGTTTTCATCTTATGATAATCAGGGGAGCCACCAGGAGGGGTTGCCAAGAGAAAGGCTAAAGTCAAAGGTACTTTGCTACTGGAGCATTAGTGACCTCTTGTGCACAGTGATTATGAATGCCTGAAATGCATGTGTTTTACCATCTTGTTAAATGTGTCTACTAATTCTGGATGCAGTTCGTACCAGTGTGATTTCACATTCAAAATGTACTGAACAAAAAAAAAAGCATTAGTTTTGGGTGCTCTTCAGCATCCTACATAATTAGATCTACAGTACTTTAAAAACTTAATTTCTAATCCAGCTGCAGGCTATGTGTGTGTGTGGATCTGCATATTTCTCCTGCTGGATGAAGAATCCTGTGTGCAAATTGATGCAGTGCATGCGATTCTGTAGGATTTGGGACAAGGCATGTGCATCCAGGGGCAAATATAAAGATTGGATTCCTACTAGTCAACTGTCTGGGAAGGAAAAATAGGATGCTACATTCAGTCTTTCTTATCAAATATCTAACTAGCAGAATTCTAGCTGAATTTTCCCAGTGATGCATGAGAATTTCTGATCACTGAGTGCACGCCTTTGGATCCACGCCTTTGGGCAAAGAATTCAATCATTTGGATAGATAAGGCTTCTACAATGTGCATGGCATATGAAATACTATATGGTTTACATATTGTTACCCCAAGCATTCTGCTCAAAATATGCTGGGCCTTTCTTAATTACAGTTCGTGTCTTCCTGTTGAAGGAGAAATGCTCCCTTTTTATGTTTCATTGTAATATCATAGTCTTTTTATTCTCAGGGCTTTATTTATTTATTTCTAAATTTTATACACTGTGAAATATCTTAAAGCAGTGTACAAAAAGAATAAAAGAATAAAATTATTTGTTAAACCAGTTAACAACAACTATTAAGAACTTTTTTAAAAAGCAAAATCAGCAATAAACTAAAATCATCCACCACAGTCCTCTCCACCACCTTCCTTCAAAAAGGAGGTATTTGCAACTGGTCAGTAGTTATTCCAGTCTAAGGGGCCCAGAGCCAGTTTCTTTAGGAGCGGTTGTACCACTGCCTCTTTCAAGGCAGGAGAAACCATTTCCTCATGCAATGAAGCATTAACCATGCTCTGAACCCAACAAGTTAGTAATGCTAATCTTAAATTTTTTTTATTCCAAATGCATTGCTCGTATTTCCATTCATGGTAGAGGGATTGCAGATCACTCGATATTTTATTGTAATCATCTTTCGCAATTTTTTTTTAAAAAAAACAGGTGTAGAAGAAAAGGCCTTGTTGGGAAGAGTGGACTAAATAACGTTTAGCAAATGTTTGTTCTCTATCTCACAATTGCTGGAGAATGTGAGCTGGAGAACATATTGGAAGGAAAGGCCAGCTATAAGGGTGCTTTTACCCCACCTGAACCTCCTGAATCCTCCCTTTCCCCAAAATTACTTCTAACATTAGAGTTTGGCTGCAAGAGGAGAGGTAATTACCTAATGGGGAAATTTTGGGCAGGTTCTTAATTCTTGCCCCAGTCTGCAGATCCTCCCTCCCCCATGTTTCCTAATAATTTCCTGAATATTTAATTCAGAAATGCCTGCATGTGTGTTGGTGGTTTTCTTTTCCATATTAGCTAGTACTTGATTGGATTTGAGTTTTACCTGAAGTGGCATTTTTGTCATGTAATTAAAACACTAATTATGGTATCAGCATATTTTTTTTAAATAAAGGCAGCTACAATACTTCAGATCTATTTCAGTATTAATCTATTGAAATAATATTGTCAGTTTTAATTGCAAACTGAATGCACATTTGTGTGACTCAATCATTTTCATAAGTCTCTGCATATATAACTTTCTAAACTATTTTAAAACCATTTTATAACGATATAGTATTTTTGGCCTCTAATAGAATATCGTCTACATGATGGTCATCATTAAAATCAGGTGTTTTCAGTAGGATCTTATTTTTATCTTGTGTTTACAGCACAATGGAAATACTCCATGCAGTGTCTTCTTTACAAATCATGACCTCTGGAGTCAGTTTAACATTTCTAAAATTAGCCTATAAAACGGGTGGGGGAAGCTGTCATCCTCCGAATGTTGATGGATTTTAGTTCCAACCAGCATGGCCCAAGAGTCAGGGATGATGGGAGTTGTGGGCATGCACAAATTCCTCATTTCTGTTTTATGGGGTCACAGCCATTTAACTTCAAATGAGTTGCAGTACTCGCCTAGGGGTGCCTAACTTTGTTTTTCACTTATCTTTTTCAAATATATGTAACATCATGCATAGTTTTAGCCAGTGTTTTTTTTCTGGGGGGACGCAGGGGTATGCATACCCCTAAACATTTTGTGAATCTAAGTTTGGCCTCATTGAGGGGCAGTATTTCAATATGAGTAGGAAAATGAGAATACCCCTAAACATTTTTTTAAAGGAAAAAAAGCACTGGTTTTAGCATTTGTGAATTGAGATTAGTCATGTTTTCTGTTAGTTCAATGATCCAGCCCTATGAGTACAGGATAGCAGATAGCACTGCCCTTTGCATAAGGGCAGAGGTCAAGGAGATCTTAAGAGAAAAGACCAAGCAGATGTAAAAAGTACAGTAGCAGAATGATTGAAGTAGGGATGGGGAATCTGTGGCCCTCCAGAAATTGTTGAACTACAGCTTCCATCATTCCAGCCACAGCTTCCCCACCCCTGACTTTAAAGTATGCAAATTTAATTCAGCGTATGTTTGAACTGCTTCCTCTCTTTTACGATATCCCCAACCCCTCAAAATCCATGGATTGTATCAAAGCTGAGTGAACACACTTCTGCTTGCACAGTGGGACTTTTACTTGCCTCTCCTTTCCCTGTGCACCCCCAAAATGTGCTTTGGAGGGTCCCCCAATCCTCTCAAACAGATTTTGAGGGAGCTACAGGAGAGGAAGGGGAAGTTTCACTGTGCAAGCCAAAGTCTGTAGCATGAGCAAGATGGCAGTGTTGGATATGCAAATTTTAGATACATTATAAGGAGGTTATGCCAGCTATAGACCTCTTGTAAAATAGGCAAATACATTTTATAGTCCTTGATTTCTATTTAACAGTGTGTCTCTTTTCTAATTTTATTTAGTAGCTCATCAGGTAGCATGATGTTTTTTAAAAAGCTGGCAGCCGAATCATTTTTCAGGCAATTTAAAATTCTTTTAACATATTTAATTAAGAAATGTATACGTCAGTTTCTCTAAGGCCACTTACAATACATAAACCCCTTGAAATAGGAGAACTAGTTTAGATACTGTTAAAGTTGGGGAAATAGAACAGTTTTCATCTGATGCTGAAGAATAAGTTTGGGGAAGCCCTATAAAATAGAAAGTTATTTCCCATGGCACATCCCAAGTAGGGATTGCTACCTGCAATTCTTTTGACAGTACTAATACTGTGTGATCAAGTTCTTTTGAATTGCAACTATGAATTTGTGATGTGAAGTTGGAATGTGAGTTTGGTTTACTAATATCCAGTGTCTTGATGTGTGTTCCTTAATGAACATTTCCCCTTTTTCAAATGGGAAAATAGAAAAAATAAAAGAGATCAAAGAACCAGCCAAGAAATTGAAAGAGAAGCAAGAAGGAAAGAAGGAAACCAAAGATGAAGAGAGGAAAAAAACCAAGAAGAAAGTTGATGACTTGGAGAGAAAGGATAAGAAAGTTGCTGATGATAAATCCAAAAAAGAATCTGAAAAGGTTAAGCGAGACAGGAGAGGTGAAAAGGAGAGATCAGGGTTAGACAAGAATCTTAAAAATAAAGAGATAAAAGAATCAGCTAGTGGCAAAGAGAAAGAAATTAAAAAAACAGCTAAAGCCCTTTCTAAAGCATCTGATAGCTCAGCAAAGGATGAAGAGAAGAGGAAAAAAGTAAAATGATACTATTTTCATATCTGAATGTTGCTTCAGTTAGAACTGATAGCACGAGAATGTAATATAGCACCACTAAGGCAATTTGTCTTTAGCTTGTTAGAGTAAACAAGATGACAGAATCATTTGCACAAACAGCCTTAGAATATGTATGAAATTGTAAGCATGAAATAAGATAGACTGCTATGAAATTCCAATTTGTACATAGTATGTCTGATAATGTCTTGTACATTCTTTTGTACTGAGATCATTTATATAATGGAATGTTTTTGGTACTCAGTATGTCACACATAAGGCTAATACAAAAATAAAACACTGAAATATTTGTAAGTGTTGTTTTACACTGGGAAGTAGAAGTATTAGGGGGAAATAAGGTAGACTAGTTTTCAAAATTTTTTGTGTTCAATGAACATGATCCAATTTATACACTTGGAACGATGGAAAATCTTATCAATATGCATATCACTCTAGAAAGTGCAACAAAACACATCTTTTTCAACCATTCAGAAAATAAATACATGGAAGAATGAAAGCTCAAATGGAGCAATGAAAAAAAGTGAAGAACAGGTGTAAAATAAGTAAGAACATTTCCTACAAATTATACCTTCATTGCTACCCCCTCTGTTTGCATTTTACAGACTGCACTGGTTTTGTTTCCTGTTGGGTAGAAAGTAGGACATACTATTATATATGTTTTTAAATAAACCTTGAATATAATCTTTTCCAAAATGATATTTGGAATAAGTCCATTTGCTGTTTTTATCTTGACATGGAGAATACTGTGTCAAAAAGTATTTGGGGCGAGGGGGAAATCTAGGAAATTTGGGGCTGAACAGACATTGGTATATGTGCTATGATCAGTGCAAGGTTTGAAAATATATGGTTGTGTAGCTCTTTGTGTCTCTGGTCTTACCACAAGAAATACTCATATATGGGTGACAAAGTACAATTTTGACACAAAAATAAAAGCAACATATTTTAGCCTTGTTTTTCAGTAATACAACACATTTAGAATTCTCATGAGATATAATGCTTTACTTGATCATGTGAAAAAACCTATGCAATTTAAATTTTAGACATCTGTGTGGGTTTTTCTGGGACCATCTCTTCCATGTTTTCTGAAATGTACATTGGATTATGTATTTGCATCCCATTGTCAAATTTTCACTTTTGTGTGAACTATTGCATGAAATAGTGGATACACGCTATAGTAACATACTTGAATGGCAGAGAGATGAGTGGGGAACAAAGCGTAGAATACAATAATAAAATACCAGCACTTCCCTAATACCAGGGGCTATATATTTGGGTTGATCAGTTTATAGCTAGATAAAAAATTTTAAAGGGTGGTGGAAGTTGGAAATTAATCTCCCAATGTAAATGGCTTCTATCCTTTCGTTGTGAGCCAACCCAACTCTATTCTGTCGCTTCTCACCCCTTAGCTTATAATGCTCTGCATGAGTAATCAAATTTAGGTAGAGCCCTTGGGTTTTGCAAATTTCAGGTGCTGCTGTTTTCCCTTCCACCTCCAGCTTACATTTTGGGAAAGCTTTTAGGAAAGAGAAGAGACTGGCAAATGAGCTGGTGATTGGGGAGCTTTTAGATGTTTCCAAGCTTTGAATGATGTTTATGAGAAGCCTGAGTTTTTTAAAAAAAGAAAATCCAGAAAAGTGTAGGTGGACTCAGCCCATTCACAATCAAGGCAAGTTTCTCTCCAAACTGATATGAGTGGGTCTAACAATTTCTCATTCAGCTGAGATTGATATTCCGTCAGCAAAGGTCAGACTGTCACTTTTCCGTATAGCAAAGGGGATTTGTGCCTATAGCACACATAGGTAGTACATAAACGCATTGATTAGTGTTACAATTTGTCCACAAAGACAGGTTCCTGCAAAGCAGTATTATGGGGCCTGAGGACCAGGGTGGACATGGAACTTCTGGCTTATTTATATGTTTCTGAGAATGAAAAACTCCATGTGGCGTGAGACCTTCCTGCTTACCTCAACATCTGTACATATGGTACTGCATCTGAATGGTGTGGATGTACAGAATTTATGGTTACAGACATTAAGGACTGCCTCTCCCCCATATGAACTGACCTGGACCCTGTAATAATCATCTAAGGCCCTTCTTTATGTGCCTTCTCCACAAAAGGTCAGAAGAGTGACAACATGAGAACAGGCCTTTTCCTTGCAGTCTTCCTGTTTGTGGAATGCTCTTTGAGGAAGGCTCATCTGGCGCCTTCATTACATATCTTTAGGTGCTAGGTGAAAACATTTCTCTACAACCAGGCCTCTGGCTGATCAGCATTCCATGGCCTTTTAAATGTGTTTGTGGGAGGGGTTTTGTTTTGTTATTTGGTTTTTGTTTTGTTTTTTGTTTTTGTGTGTGTTGTGAACTGCCCTGTGAACTTTGGATGAAAGGTGGTATAGCAATTTAATAAATAATAATAATTTGATCTTTACCTCTAACAAATGAAGATTCAGCAACATGAAGACTGAGTGTGTACCATTTAGATGCTACATCTAGTTCATGGCAACTTTTAGGGTAGTTCATATTTTACTTTATTTTGGATTGAAATATACAGGTTGAATTTTTTGAGAAACTATTTTGCAATTCTACATACAGAAAATCATCAAAACCATGCACATTCTTGTATGAAATGAGTTTACAGTAATATTCCCTTTCCAATAAAGTTTAATGTACCAGTTTGCTCTGAAAGAAGAATGAAGAAACTGACAGTGCAATTCTATATACATTTACTCAGAAGTAAAGCTCTTTATGCTCAAAGGGAATTACTCTAACATGGGTGTGAGTAGGATTGCAACCTTAGTGTCCATTTAGTAAAATCACAGAGTGCCCTGTTCTCTATGACATAATCCACCAGAAAATTATGGATGTTCTTTTATGCCGCTTCTGTTTACTGCAGTAAGGGTTGCACCAAAGGTTTTGGTGGACTATACTAGCAGTTTGTAAACTTATAAATGCTACAGAAGATATGTTAAAAACACTGCTCAGAAATGCTTCCCTTTACTTTAAAATTGCAATGGATAAAAATGAGTCCATCAAATTCCATTTTCTTGAAGTGGACAATGATCACTGTAGATGTGCAGGCTTTTCTTACTGAGCCCACTCATGATTTTCTTTGCTTTGTTGTGCAGTATTGATGGAATATTGCCAATGTGGTCAAGTTCATGCCGAATATGAATTTTGAGGAATTGTCTTGACCAAAGATGCTAAATGATAAGATTGTAGCATGGTATTTGGATTTGACAGGTCAAGTGGCTGGATCTGTAACCTGTCTCCCATTTGAAAAATGTTTACATCCATTATTTAGATCAGGGAAAGGAAACTGTGGTTCCCCCACAACTATTAGCCATATTGATTAGAACTTAAAGGAACTACAATGCAACTTTTGGAGAGCCACAGGTTCTCTTATCACTGGTTTAGTCATTTGATGGAAATGCCACTAATTTATACCACTTCTAGCTAGAAAAACATGTTTGTTTTTAGTGGTGCAAAATCTATTAATTGTATGTCAGGAGCATTTTACATGTGGAAGCATTCAAAATATATTGCCTCCTTTTTTTCTGCCTGTAATCTGAAGTAGTACAATCCAGAATTCTATTTGTATGCTGCCTTATTCTGTATAATGTATAGATTAGCTCTTCCTATCTTTCACTCTCAAAAGTGTGCCATGGAGAAGGTCCTCAGAAACAGTTTGGGGGAAAGAGAGGTTGAGACATTGTTTTCACTCTTCCCCCTGAGCCCCTCAGTCTAGAATCTTAACCTTGGAAAGATACCTTCCTCCTTCTCTACCCATGAGCTGGCTTTGAGTAGGAAGCAGTATTTTCATTAGACATACATTGCTTCACTTCATTCTTCTTCCCTTTACCCCAAGCCAGTTCTTCTTGTTTCATCAATGGTAATGATCTCTATACTGGATAGGGGAGGTGTTGGTGTGTGGGGTGGGGGTTTAAATAAGGAATGAAGCAAGGGTGAAGGGTTAGGAACAGAGAAGAGCTTCAACCTTCATTTGGAAACAGCTACTATCCCAAATCCACCTTTGGCTTCTGCTTAACAACTAAATACCGTATATATTTTAGAAGAAGTGGCCCTGATGTTTGTAGTACTATATTTTGATGCTCTAAGTAATTAAAATTTAAGAGTGCCATCCAGAGACACATATAAGTTCACAACAGCATTTGGAGAGATTTCCTTGAAGCAGCCCATAACCCCATATTTACAGAGCAACTTTGGGTTTTGGTAAAAGGAAACTGATTTAAAGGCAGCTGGAAATGAAACCAGTTCATACAGAGAAGTTTACCTTTAAGAAGATGCTGCAACAGGCTCCAAAAACTGGTTTTAAAAAATGAAAAAATGTTGGACTTTGAAATACAATGTGGTACTTCTGTAGGCTGTGTGTAGTGTGTACTCTCCTTTTTGGTAGTCTTTAGATTTGTGGGCTTGGATCCAGACTTTGCTCCCCGTGGTGGGAGACTCCTTTGAGCAGAGTTCTGATCAGGGGACTCCTTCACAGACAGAAGGGGAAGGTGGCAATTCCTCTTTCCTTTCCTTAAAGCCCTCTGAAAAAATATTATTGTGTGGGGTTACAGGGAAATCAGGGATGAGTGGACGTTTCCTCTTCCCTCTTCCCTCAGCATGATCCCTCCACTGGATCAAAAGCGTAAATGGAAGGAGCCGTTACAGTCTTTCTAAGTTTGGATTCAACCCCTTGTCATTATCTCAGTGATACCTAAGAAAGCCAAAATGTTGAACCAGAAAGGCTAAAGTTAACTTTATAACTAAACAATGCAGGACTTAAAGAAAGATCTGTCCCAGAACAGCAAAAGCCAAGAGATGCTGAAGAGGTTACCCAACCTACAGAGGAGCCACATGGGAGAGCAGGTAGGTTCTCGTGCAAACTAAGTCATAGAAAAATAAACTCGGTCTTGCCTATCTTTTTGTATGGTAAAAGCTTTACAGCATCTGCTCTACAGCAACTTGTCCTCAATGAGAGGTTTGCAAATCTTGTCGTATTGCAAACCCTCTTCCATACTGTTAACACTATGGGAGTGCTTTCAGAATGGTTCCATTGAGGTAGCGATATGCATAATGTCACATTGAATTTCTTTCTATTTAGATCTTTCATGAAAGATTAGTCAGCAGGACAAACCTAGTTTCTGGTTCATGAATTGTTGTGTGTACTTCACCAGCACATTTACACAAAATCATTCTGAACTCATCTCTCAGGGAAGTAAACATCATATGAAAATATGCCCCAAATCAGAAAAGATAAAAACAGAGGGTGGCATCCAATGTCATGTGAGTGGACTTCTCCTTCCTTGCCTCTTCCCTGAAGCACCATGCCCATACCCCAACTTCTCTACAGCACTCCAGAACAGATTTTGGGGGTATAGGGGGAAGGTTGCATCTGTTCCACCAGCAGTGTTGGTTCCCCCTGGCAGATGAACACTGTTGGACTGCACCCCAAAATAAAATAGCTATTGAATTCATCTTTGGATGTATATTCATTTAATAGACTAGATTCTCCATATAACCTTTTAAAACTTTTAAAATAAAATATTAATTAGCTTGAAATATTAAAGGTAGTTTCTTTACTAGAGTTCTTTATAACAGGGATTGAACTGTATAAACACCCTAAACAGCTTTCTGTTACACTGTATACATATGCCAGTGCATTTATTTATTTATTTTTACCACTCTTTGCATGACAATTATTTTTCTTCATTTCAGGCATTGAGTATTGTAAAAAGAAATGAGTATTTTCTATAATGGAGTGGGTCCAGATTAAATATTTTAAAGACACTTAAAACAATATGCAAGTTTCCTAGTACTTGGAAATCTTCTTGCAATATGTACATCCCACTGATATTTGAGAAATTTCTATACTGCCCAGTGCCAAAAATGTCCACAGGGCAATGTGCAACAAAACAATACAATGCAATATATAATAAGCAACATAGATGTCAAAAATCCGAGGTCCATATTAACTTGGCTGTAGATTTGTACTTCTCTGTGTAGGTTTTACCAATATATTGCTCTTGTGGTAGAATAAGTAATTCATTCTGCTTCATAAGCTCCCATTGTTGCTCTAATTCTAGGTTGTGGACCTTGGGGTTCTAATAAAAAACAATGTAGATTCCAGAAGCCTGAAGTCCTACCTTTGTATGATAAACCTTGCAGGCTGTGCTTGCTCATATTCAAACATTTTCATTGCCATGAGGGCTGCAAAAGTGCTTTATCTAAAAAGGAAAGCTAAGATCCTCAGGAGTCTAGATAGTTCAGCATAGCAGACTCTACCCCATACTCCAAGCTCATGGAAGATGCACTGTTATGCATGATGGATAGTTTCAAATTATTTAAACTTAGAGGTGACTAACCTATGGCATTCAGATGTTGGATTCCAACTCCTATTCACTCGTGGACAGTAATGTGGAATGCTTAGTCCATCCCTACTAGATTCATTTTATTTTACAAAATGTATACACTGTTTGGCTGTAAAAACAACAACAACAACCCTCAAAGTGTTGTACTATAGCCTTGTGCTTAACTATAGTCTCATACTGTTATTTTATGGAATTACAGAATCATAGATAACCAATGGTTATCTAGTCCAGTGCTGCAATGCAGGAATCACAGCTCAAAAAATCCCTGACAGATAGCCATCCAATCTCTGTTTAAAAACCTTCAATGAAGGAGAGTCCACCAGCTTGGGTACATGTTTGTGAAATGTACAGGCACCACCCCACTTATGCATGTTCATGTCATGTGTGACTGCGCATATGCATGGTATCAGGAACCCAGAAGTAGGGGAAGAGACCTGAAGGCCTCAACAAAGCCCTGCTGTGCCTCCAGCTTGCAGGGAGACCTTCCTTGGAGCCCAAAAGGATGTCCTCTTTGAGCTCTGGGAGGGTCTCCTGGTGAGTCAGAGGTGCAGTGGGTTGCTTCCCACTTAAGGGCATTTCATTTATGGGTGCAGAGGGCCAGCACAGGCTTCCCTGTGTAAGTGGGGAGTCACCTGTATATGAAAAAAAGCCTGAATAAAAATGCCATATATCATGTTTACCAAGTCCATAGGGAAACATGCTCACTTTCCCTAAAAGTATTTGTTTTCTGGTTTTTGAGTTCAGTCTCTTCTTTCTGCTGACCTTTTGATGTATTCTCTAAAATAATGTAGAACACAAGAGTGCTGAAGCAGAACCAGAAGAGGAAGATGAAATGGACACTTTGCTACGTCAAGTTCTTGAATCAGAGTTTGGTATGAATGAATACTTTGTCCATGAACTTCTAAAAAGAAATTTTAGAACTAATCAATTATTTTGATCAGTTAAAAAATGTATGTAGCTAGTTACCGATCTTTCAAAACATTTTTGCTGCTGGTTGGAAAAAACTGTTTGCTTTCCAAAATGGAATAATGACTGTAGTGGCTAATGACCTGCCCCTCACGTGTTTGTCCAATGATACCAGTTTATAGAATTATCCCATAATAACAGTAAATGCTTAAGGCACAATATCAGAGCTAAGCACTCTTAAGATCCACTGGTTTCTGTGAAAGGAGTAATTTTAAACTAGTGGGTTGGATGTGGACATTTCCGTCCATGAACAGAAAGGCTCCTTCATTTGCAGATGGGACTCCACTCCAGCAGAGGCTTTCATTCCACTTTACTGGATGCTCCTGCTGGCAAAAGGGGAAGAAGACGATTTTTGGCAGCACCTAGAAGACCAGGGTTCAAATCCCCACTATGCTATGAAGCTCACTGGAGGACCGCGGACCAGTCACTGTCTCTCAGCCTAGCCTACCACACAGGGTTGTTGTGAGGATAGCATGAAGAGGGGGAGAACTGTGTAGCTTTCTGGAGTTCCTTGAAGGAAATAAATGTAATAATAATAATAAATGACCAAGTAGTCCCCTGTGCAACTTCCCATACTGTTCTTCAGGGTCTCCTAATACTCTGGGACAGATTTTCAAGGTGCACCAGAGAGCTGTCTGAGGAAGGGGGGGTGTCTCAAAAAATGGTGTCCCCTTCCTCCAGTGGGAGCATCCAGTTAGCAAAATTCCATCTGGATTCAACCCAGTGGGCCTTAAATGTGTTTGGATTGTACCAATGATCTGTTTAGAAGGGCAGTGATTTACAGAATGCAATTGAGACTGTTCTGTTGATATGCTGTTTTTCTAACATTTTAAGAAAAATAAATGAAGCGGATGAAGAAACAGCTTTTCAGGAGGAGAATAGTGAAATACCTGAAGTTCCCACAGAACAGGATGTCTATGATGAAGACCTTGAAGATAAAGTGCCAGAAGTATTAGAAACACCAGAATCTTTCTATGAAGGTACCTGAAATATTAAGAGTATTCAGCATGTTTTTCCTTTCTTTTTCTTTTTTTGAAAGAGATTAAGAAGGTGGTGAGATATTTTACTTAGGCTTTTATGGAATAAATATATGTCTTTGAGTTCATTCAGTTCAGTCAAACATAGTATGTGATCAAGTCTGTTTTAAATGACTTGTATACTGTATTGTGACCCAGATTGGACATCATTGGAAGGAAAGTTTAGTGAATGGAAGAAGACTGCAGCATCATGTGTGCCCTTCCTTCTGCTTTCCCCCTCTCATGCATGAATTTCTCCCATGTTCTTGTATTTAGACATACATCTAACCTGAAGCCTAAGATCCTGAAAATTGTGGTTTATCAGGGTGTTCAAAGTATTTAGAAGTATGTCTGGATTCATTTTAACCTGAATTGATGATGCTCAAACCAAGATGCGGGGAGGCATGAGGAAATTCACTTGCAATAAAAGAAGTATTGGAAGACAGCAGAAATGGTTCTGTGGTCTACTCCAGTCCTTACATTCTAGTTCCAGGATTATGTCTACTCCAAGCATATGTGTCTAATAACTGTTAGATTAATTGGGCACTTTTCTGAAAATTGACAGTATTTTAACTTAGCAGTAGGTGGTATTCAACAAAGTATTTGCAATAACATAATGGGATTTCCTTGCTCTATTCTCCCCTACCTCCCACAAGCCCTGTCCTGTCCTGTCCCCAAATGTGCTCTGGAAGGTTGGGGAAAATCCCCAAACAGCTTTAGGAGACATACAGGGGGAGAAGTGCCTGACGAAATATTTTTCCTAGTGCTACACTGAATACAACATTTTATGTACCTTCAAAAACCAAATATTTCCCTTATTTTTCATTTCAGAACCTGCAAGTGACTATCAGCCAGGAGAGCCAGACACAGATGACAGTCATGGTATGTCTGCTTTTCATAATAGCTTTGAGATGCTGTGAAGTGATGTATCAGGTGATGAACATGTGTCTGTGAACTGATCCTAAATATCTGCAAATTTAATGGGAGAGATGGTTTATATGATGGAATTTTCTAAAGTGTTGGTTTTCAACCTCACCTAAGTGGATCACAACTTTACCTATTGTATCTGAAGAAGTGTGCATGCACACGAAAGCTTATACCCAGAACAAACTTAGTTGGTCTCTAAGGTGCTACTGGACAATTTTTTATTTATTTCAACTGCGTCAGACCAACACTTCTACCTACCTGGAACTTTACCTAAGACAGATTGCCATGATTCAATGCCATTTCACATTTTACGTTATTTAAATAATGCATCTTCTAAGCCAGGTGATGATAACTTATGTGTGGAGAAATATTAGTCAGGGCAAAGATGCCATACATAGGCGACTCACTCGACATTTGAGGGAAGCATGGTTCATGTACATTCACAGTCTATAATCCTAATAAGTCTTAACTAGCAATAACAATGTTAAAGTGGTTATGGCAAGCAGCCTTTTTTGGATTTGGCAAATCTGAAGATAAGATTCCATCAGGGTTGAGGTCTTTGTAAGGTCCTTTTGGGAGATAAATGACAGATAAGTAACAGATAAATTTCTGTTTCGGTGCCAACATTGGAGGCAGCAGTTATGTGAAGCTCTGCACAGAGGAACATGATTACGGCGCCTGTCTGTAGTTTGGGTAGAGAGAATCCAGTAAAAGGAAAACCCACAAGTGGGGATGAAATGCCCATACATAGAGAATAAAGATCAATAGAGCAAAGGGGAGAGAGGAAAAGAAAGATAGAGAATCGGAGAAAAAATATACAAGTGGGTCCCATGTTAGAGGGGTTCAATGAAATGCCAGATCAAAATATCTGAAGATAACTGTTCTGATCAAAATATATTGTATTTCATAATACTTGTTGAAATCTATGAGCATTCATTAGTTCATCTAGGCTTAAATTCTATACACAAACTACACTGGCGTTCAAGTCCCATTGAATGCAAAGGGACTTGCTTCTGAATTGACATGCACAGAATCCTGCTGTTTACTAGTTATTAAATGTTTTGAAGTAATATCTATTATTACTTTCTTTGACAATCTGTTCCTGGGGGAAAATTTTCTACTCCAAACGTTTCATGGCTAGTGTTGATAAAAGCTGGGCATTCCCAGTTATAGTTGTGTGACTTTCTTTCCCATCAATCTTGAGTTAAAGGTAAAGGGACTCCTGACCGTTAGGTCCAGTCATGGACGACTCTGGGGTTGCGGCGCTCATCTCGCTTTACTGGCCAAGGGAGCGGGCGTACAGCTTCTGGGTCATGTGGCCAGCATGACTAAGCCACTTCAGGCGAACCAGAGCAGTGCACGGAAACGCTGTTTACCTTCCCGCCAGAGCGGTACCTGTTTATCTACTTGTACTGCGTGCTTTTGAACTGCTAGGTTGGCAGGAGCCAGGTAAAAAGCAACTAGTTAGTCTAACTCATTTAAGCCCTCCAGCCTTGACAACAGTATTAATAGCTATTTGTGAATTAATGTGAACTTCTAATTTTCAGATGCATATGAATATCATGCACATACAGAAGAAGCTACATATGAACCAGAAAGCCAAGGTTTGTCTGGTTATTATTCACATAGAAGTAATAGGTTATATAGAATGTGTCTGTTTCTCTATGCTTAACCAACCTTGAGAGCAATGGAACTGCAAATGTACACATAGTTTAGATTAAGGAAAGCTTGTCTTTTGTCTTGGTAGGGCTGTTGACCTTGCATCCTGTTATCTTTAAAATAAATGCACCAATGTGCATTTAAAATGCCCCATCTGTGAAACAAAAAGGCATCCCAGAAGAGGGTTAAAAATAATGCTTATTGTAATATAGCAGTGAAAGCTCCTTGTGCTCCTATAAATTATTATTTTAATTTGTGTATATATTTATTTGTGAAATACATTGCAGTGCAGCAGTTACTGTTAATACCAAAAGACTAATAAAATACTATAATACATTTTTAAAATATTTTTATATACTCACATTCTCAAACTGTGAAATATTTCTATAAATGCTAAAGAAAAGTTAGAATCTTATGTTGCTTATTAACTATTTCACCTACATTTCATTTTATTAACTTTTCCTCAGCAAATAATATGGTTTCACTGAATCTTATATTTTTACTTTGTTCCAATAAGAAATAAACAAATTCAGTTTCTTCCATAAAAACATTTTCTTGTTGCCTCTTTCACTTCAAATCAGATTTGTGAACTTCCGTCATGTATGCGATATCCCAGACTTTGACTACCCAAGAATATTTTTTGGTGCTTTTCCAGTTCTGACATATTGTAATTCTGTCTGTTAGAAAACGAGTAGTCATTTATGTATCTTCCTCTAGTATACTATGTTTAAGGTAACCAAATAGTATTACTACTGTATCCTTGGTGAGATCACAGGCAAAAATGTTTTTTATTTCTATCAATGACTAAGGACTTTGATTGAAAGACTGACTCCCACTATAAATAATATCCTTAAAATAATAACTGGCAGCCTAATTGCTGTAATAAGAAACAAGGGGAAGAAGGATGATTAATATTTGAAAGCGGTTCCTCTTGATAGCTTCTTTATCTGTTTTAAGAAAGGTTTTTAATTGAAACTAATGAAGACTTCTGACTGAAGTCTGAAGACTTCTGACTGTCAGATGGTCAGGGCATGTGCTTTTCGTAAGTGATGTGTGATGCAGCCTGTTCTTTATTACTCATTTCTGTTTTGCTTTGGAACAATTTGTACAATAAAAATACTGATTTAGTATGCTAAGAAAATGATGGTGATGTATGGGGCATAATACAAATTATACACTATGATGCTAAAATGGTATATGCATCAATATATTAATAATAATAAGCAGTAGTAGTAGTAGTTGGTTTATATATCACATTTGTATCCTACAATGCCTATATGCAGAGGGCCATATCCAAATAAGTAGCTCTAGGTAGAAACTCCTCTAAGTAGAAAATCCTCCATTGAATTCTGCCGTATGAGGCTAACTTACGTAGACTCAAACACATAATCTGCAAAACATGAATTTAGAAGTGCAAGCCTCTTTGCAGATATGATTAATATGTTAAATTGACTGTAGGAGACCTAGTGCAGTCCTGATTCCTTCCTCTTTCATCCAATCAGTCAACCAGCTGTATAGAAACATGTACTTTGATTTGCACAAATGAAAACATATTTTTGTCTGTCTTCCACAGATGACACAGAACTAAATCTAGAGGATGCTCTGGATCATAACACAGGTATTACACAGAAGTCTAAATACCTGCATTTTACAGTTGGATTCTACTTAATTTAAAAGTCAGGTTATGTTACCTAACAGAGCAGGGGTTGCTGACATTTTGGGGCCTGTGGCTCATCTGGAAAGAGTGCTGTAGGTACTGTCGCTTCTGGTTGCTTTTTCACCCCTCTTCCTAGGTCAGACCTGCCCCCAACAGACAAAGTGAAAGAAAGCACATGCATACACACAGCCAAACATACTTTTCTTTTATGTATGAGTAAAAAAATCAGATCCAGTAGAATTAAAACAGATCCTTTTTTAATTTGTCTGATTTTACCAAGGGTCCCTGAAAAAACCACAATCAAATTAATGCTTACAGTAATACCACCAACAAATCACATAACACATCTATGTATACAGAGGCAACATGATGGGTACTTTTGAGGTAATCCCTGGTATAAATTATGAGGATCCATAAGTATCAGTGTCTCAGATCCCTGGCAATGCTGGACAGCCCCAGATCCATGTCTTTTCCAGTTCAGTCAATAGAAAAGATGTGATCTCTGATTTGATGGTTGATAGGGGAGGGGAACCAGAAGTGGTGGTGGTAATTTTAATGGATTATTCTTCTCTTTCTTTTCTAACGTATGTGGCACACTGCTCTCCTATCTGGCTATTCAATTTTCTTCCTCCCACACTGGTCCCCTTTCCCTACCCGTTCTATTAATACCTCCACCATTGCCTGTACACATGCACCCCTTGACCTACACAAAGGCACATATCCAAGCCCTCTGGGACATTGTGGGCTACTCAGTTTGCCCTTGCCTTCCATGTTGCTTGCTATATCGGCTTCTCAGTTAAATGCTGATTAAATGCAGTAAGATGTGAATTCTTAGGAAATAATATGTGACAGTAGATTTATTGCACACATTAACAGTCTCTTTACTTGCAGAACCTTATTCACATGACACAGAAAAGCAGGACTATGTGGATGAACATGGTATGTTGTGTGATTTTATAGCAACGCTGTGATTAAGAGCAGGACATTTGTTTTTATACTTTAGTTGTAATATCGTTTGAAAGTCCTCACATTTATAACATGCTGCTGTAACAGTATGGCTGTACTGTGTGTATAAATATTGCAATTATGGATTGGAGTCTCATGTCTTTCTCAGCTGATTAATGCCTGAATTTCTGGATTGGGTTGTGGGGAAAGCTTTCTGCTTCCCTACCCACATGTGTGGTATTTATGTGTGACTCAGGCATATTTTACTGTGGCTGAACAGTTTTATATTTATATTATATCATTTTTATGATAATTTGCTATTTCTCACCTCTTGGATATTTTATGATTAAATTATACATGAATGGGAAAATAAGTAAGTAGGTAAGTAAATAAATACAATGCACATAGAATGTCACCTCAAAGAAGCAGCAGACAGCTTGGCTTGTGTGAAAGGGCCATAGCTGAATCAGTTTTTCTAGCTGTATTTTAAAGTTTTGAAAAACTGACAACGAAATGCAAATCATTCCTTGTGCCCAAGATTCCTTGTGCCTTACAAAAATGTTAAGCTTTAATCAGCAACAAATAAGTCGTGTGTGTGTTATAGTGAAATGTGTGATCGTTGGGGAACCTTTTCTTTCTCTGTCCCAAACATAAAATATTGCTCAGCGACAGAGAACTACCTTTGCATGCAAAAGGTCACTGATTTGATTACCCTCAGAGGTATGAGTGGAACCACCACAAAGCATCTCCCAAGACTCCCTAAACCCCAAAGGCAGTCCAGAAAGAAACTGTGACTAATGGTATCAAAAGCTGCTGAGAGGTCAGGGAGAATCAACAGGGTTGAATTTCCCCTACAAATTTCTCCTGACAAAGGTCATTTTTATTTTTATTTATTCACAACATAAATCTCAAAATTGATCTGGACAAGCGAATTTTGATTCCAAAACCAGGTCTGAAACTGGATTGAAATGTGCCTAGATAATCAGTTTCATTTGATCATGCTTGAAGCTACCCTACCTTCTCAAGCAACTTGCCCCCAAAGCAGATACTTTCTTCTTCCCTCTCTCTGTCCATGTTTACTCAGCAGCAAGGCCTGGTGCCTTCAGTAGCTTTATCTCTAGTAAGTGTGTTTAGGATTGCAATCTTAGTTTCTTTCCCTTTCCTCCATCTGATCCACCTATCTGAAGGGGCCCTCTACAAGCTTTGCCAGCCCATTGAGATCTTCTTGATTCAAGCACCGGGAACTATTTGATGATGTCCCAGTGTTTGAAAACACCAGGCCATAGTTTCTGGAATGTCCAGTGCTGTTTCACACCAGAGAAGGGGGCATTCCAGTCACCATAAATTTGTGAGTGCATCTCTCCCCCTCTCAGTGTGCTTCCAACTTCATTTGAGATCCCTACTCTTATCCAGGCAGCTAGTCCACTTCACTAAAACTTAGATGATTAAGACAAACTGCTTTGCATATCACAGTCCTTTAAAAACTTATGTATTCAAGTCTTTTTCTGGCATATATGCTAATTAATCTGACAAAGGAAATTGTGATTTTGTTACTTTTTTCTTTATTAACTCATAACCATTGTAGCATTCCAGTTTTAAAATTTTAATTATGTATTTTATTTTAGAATTGGAAAATGAAGAATTTATTGAAGCACAGAATACAGGTAAATTGACTGTGACTATGAAAAATAATGGCAGTAATGGTTTTCCTTAGCTGTTTCTTTGCTGTTTTAGCGCTCACACTGAGCAAGTCATGTCCTGCATGAGTTACGTATAGGTGAACATGTCTAATGAGTTATTCTGCACTTTTGAACATATAAATAATAGCAAATTATGTCTTTGCTCTGTTACTGAACTGACAGCAAGGAAAGTTCTCTTCTCAAACAGGCATGGGGAAATGGATCTAAACCTAATCTCTACCTTAGTTGTTGTGGACAAAGTTGCAACAGTGACATTGGGTGACATTTTTGCCCACATGGTCTTGCAGAGCCCCTTGCAAAGCTGAGCACAGGCTTTTACCTGCTGCATTCCTTATATATAATATCAAGTATAGGGTAGATGGGTATGGCTGGGCCAAATGGGGAGCTCTGGCAGCCTAATGCAGAGGCTTGGCGAGCATAATTAGGCCTGCAGGCTATATAGAATCATAGAATTGTAGGGTTCCCCAGGCCTGTCCTAGAAGCTGAAAGAATCTGCAATTTCAGGAAAAACTGAATTCTGTCAACACGAGTCTGGTTAGTGATAGACATTGATTCCTTTGATTCCTTTGATGCAACTCCTATAATTGATACTCTCTAAGGGTCTAGCTACACATTATGTATAAACATGTAGAAAAGAACCCTAATGACAGGTTTTGTATCTTTCCCCCCCTTTTGTTGTTGTTGACAAAATGCAGCCTTGGGTGGCTTCTCTACTCTATCAACCTATTCTGTCCCCAGACCCCTGAGTTCCAACCACATTTTTGTGAAAATCTGGAGTCATTCTCTTTAATTTACATAGCATGGACCTGGATTCTTTTTTTTTCCTTAAGCAGAGAGACCTGCAGCAATATTTTGTTTGTTTCATAAAATTTATATACTATTTTATTGTAGAAAAAACTCACCTCAAAGTGGTTTTAAAAAAGATAAAACCATAAAATTATCACTTTTTACAACGATAATTTAAAACATACAGAAAGTTAAAACCACAATAAAATAGATTAAAACAAATAAAAACTCATACTAACTTTCTAAACATCTGGCGAGGTTTATCTAAATAAGAATGTTTTCAGCAGGTGCCAAAAAAGAATACATTTTCTTGTGAACTATATCACATTGTTCTCTTTTCAGATGGAGAACAGTTATCCGAACATTATTATGAAAATATGCAAGGTAAGCATATATTCATTTTATCATCATTTATCTATAAGTGATAAATCCCCTATAACTTATCTATAAGTTCGAATCCCCACGGCGGGGTGCGCTCCCGTTGTTCGGTCCTGCCCCGGCCGGGTGTGTGTGTGTGCAGAGCTAAATATAGAGGTTCAAGCCAAAATGCAGAAGCTGGGGTGGTAAATAATAATAATAATAATAATAATAATAATAATAATAATAATTTATTTATACCTGGCTCATCTGGCTGGGCTTCCCCAGCCACTCTGGGGAGCTTCCAACAAAATATTAAAATACAGTAATGCATTAAACTTTAAAATAGGGGACGCGGGTGGCGCTGTGGGTAAAAGCCTCAGCGCCTAGGGCTTGCTGATCGAAAGGTCGGCGGTTCGAATCCCCGCAGCGGGGTGCGCTCCCGTTGCTCGGTTCCAGCACCTGCCAACCTAGCAGTTCGAAAGCACTCCCGGGTGCAAGTAGATAAATAGGGACCGCTTACTAGCGGGAAGGTAAATGGTGTTTCCGTGTGCGGCTCTGGCTTGCCAGAGCAGCGATGTCACGCTGGCCACATGACCCGGAAGTGTCTCTGGACAGCGCTGGCCCCCGGCCTCTTGAGTGAGATGGGCGCACAACCCTAGAGTCTGTCAAGACTGGCCCGTACGGGCAGGGGTACCTTTACCTTTTATCTATAAGTGAATATATTCATTTATTAACTTGGGGTGGTGGTGGTGAGAAGAATTATGCTGCAAAACTGATGCTTATTGCTGGATTAAATAAACATGCCCATCTTAGCAGCAGCTGCAATATTGGCATCTCAAGTCTGCTTGAAATATGAAAACAATGTTGTAGAAAAAGCACAGCCAAGTAGGAAATGTTTGAAAGAAAATGTGATAAAAATGATGTATAGGTGGTATATTACTCCTGTGAAATTAGCTAAAATGTATAAAATAAGTAATAAATGTTGGAAATGTAAAGAAAAAGAAGGAACTTTTTATCACATGTGGTGGGAATGTAAGAAAGTGAAAAACTTCTGGGAAGTGATATATAATGAGATGAAAAAGGTGATTATTGTATTTTTATTATTTGCTGTACATTGTGTACAGTATCTTCATTGTATGGAGGCACAGTCAGTTATGGATTCCTGTATTCATACACAAAGAGAAATAAAGAAGTGTGCATGTGATGACCAATCCACATCTAACTTTATTGTTTCCTAAATAGCAACTTTCCACATAAGCATTTTGTCACATTTGAAGGGATTTTCAGTTGTGTTTTCTGAATAGGTATTTTGGAGTCTGAGAACTAAAGTGTAAGGTTTCTTTCTCCTGCTTATACAGGCCCTAGCTCTGTCTTAAATTACAATTTTTGTACACATTACTCTTTATATTGTTAGCTTTGGTCTTATAAAGGCTGTGATTTATTTATTATATTTATTATATATCTAACAGAGCCAATTGAGAGCACTGATCAAACACATGAAAGTGAGTATAAAAAATGGTTCATTCCATCTTATTAGGAATCAGTCCTAAGAATCCTTTTTAAATCCAAAGCTTATGATTTCATGATTTCTATAAATTCCCCATATTTGTGTATAATTACCTTTATAAATTAGCAGCTTCTGCTGTTAATGATAATCATAATCATTACCACCATTATAATTATTAAAGAACATAAGAAGAGCCTGCTTCTACTGGATCAGGCCAATGGCCCATCTAGTCCAGCATCCTTGTCTCATCATCATCATCATCATCATCATCAAACCTTTATTGGCATCACATACAAACATTCAGAATAAATAGGCCAGTGCGATCTCATCGCCATTTCAACAGTACAGTCATTGCCAAAGGGAAGAAGAGGTGAGCAATCTATTATCCTCTTCTCACAGTGGCCAGTCAGATGCCTTTGGGAAACCCACAAGCATGATTCAAGCACAATAGTCCCATTTTAGGATGTTGCAAATCCACAAGGTATCTTTTAGAGCTAAAAGCTCTTTCAGCAGTACTCAGTTGCCAGGATCCAATTTGTTATAATGTCATTTTGTCTTTGACCTGTTTCTTCTTTTCTCAAAAGTATGTCAGTTTAATAATTAAAGCAAATACCCATACCTTACCTATCCATTCATTAGTAACGGCTGCTACTTAGGCCCTCCATTTCTGTGCAAACATTATTCGTCCTGCAGCTGTCATATAAGGGAATAATTGTGTGTGCTCTTTCTTTGTGAGGTGTTGTTTTTGTTAGTTTAATTTGGTTGCTACTCTAACAGCATGTTATCTAATTCATTTTTATGTGCCCATAGATGAAGCAGATGTTCCACATTCTGCTACTGAACAAATTCAGTCAGGTACGTTTACATGAATTAACCAAGGTAGGAGAAACTAATTTGAGTATAACTTTTATTAAAGTTATTTTTCTCTAATGAATGAAAGCACTTTTTACCTTCTGTTTATGTGTGGAATAAAAGGAATACTGGACAGAGAACTGCTGAGAAACTTCATTGTACAAGATGATGGTTTTTAACCACTGAATGTATTGATAAAAATTTAGACATCTGGATCTTAAAGGCTCTGAATGTATTAATATACTACATATTTGCATGTCACTTTGACATTTGCTTCTGTGAATTCAAATAATCACAAATCAGTGTGGAAAGTACTGAGAAATGTATTAAGGCTATTTTTGCTAGTACCTCTTTGCTGTCCTGGGAAAAGTGAATATTAAGTTTCTCTGTCAGGAGGAGACAGAAGAGATCAAACCTGTCCCCCATTTTTAAAGCTACCTGTCTCAAGTGTGGCAAGGAAGGTTACTAGGATATTTGTGAACCTGATTTCCCTTTGCCTTCTCTTACCATATAACATAGCCATCTAGACTCTGAATTATGCTAATAGCAGGGATTCATACTGGAATTCAAGAATGACCACCTACATAGTGGCTATGGAGGGTGCAATTAAAAGTAGGAAAAGGACTCTTTGCCACCTCTCTTTTTACCCTGTAACACACTCCTCTCACCCATTTTTTACCCAGCCATGTTTCTAGATGTGCTTGTATGTCACTGGGGAAAAGCAGCAAGTGGGAAGAAAGTTAATCATTCCATTGTACCCACCATTTTACTGTTTCAAATAACACCTACCCACCCCTGCTGCTTTGCAGCTATTTTGTGGAGACCCAGGTCACTCCTAAATGTGAAGTGCCAGCTGAAGTTGAGGATTCTGTGAACTAATTGGTCAGCTACCTAGCTTTCTTAAGCTTTTTGGTTCCTGGATGTCTGCTGGGCAATCCTCTGTTGTATTTGATATACTCCATAGTTAGGGAAAATCACAGAGTCCACTCTACCAGCCAGCTTAGCAATTTTGTTTTGACATCCTCTGCACTTGAACATGCTTTAGTACAGCCTTTTCTTGTCTTATGGAAGCTCACTATTTCAAAGTTACTTTAAGGAGACATGCATGGATATCACTGGAAGAGGGTATACATCTTTAAGAATGGAGTACACTGCCAAACCATAGCTGTTATGTTGAATCTGCCCTGCCTTTGCAACAAACATCTGGTTGTTTTTAAGGACTCAAGTGTTTGTATATGACTCCATTAAACCACTCATTTTCTTTGGTTTGCTCATTTCGGAAGTCAAAATTATTTTAAAGAAAATACTGTAGCTGAAATATCCAGCTATGATAGCTCAAAGCTCATAAATATTTAGATATTTGGCTTAAAAAATAAAAGAGTATTTTATGATGTATGTGTTAAAAGTAAAATGCTTGGGGAAAACAAGAGGGAAGAGAATGCTGTATTTTATATCTGTGTCACACACTTATGCTGTAATGTACAATTTGACAACCTATGTGCTCTGTATCATCCTTAAAGTTCTTACAATCATTGCTGATTTTTAAAAAAGAATTTAAGCTTGTATTTATCTTATTTCTTTAATTATGTCTGTATAACTACAAAATAACGCCTGCCAACCTAGCAGTTCGAAAGCACCCCCAGGTGCAAGTAGATAAATAGGGACCGCTTACTGGCGGGAAGGTAAACGGCGTTTCCGTGTGCTGCGCTGGCTCGCCAGATGCGGCTTTGTCACGCTGGCCACGTGACCCGGAAGTGTCTCAGGACAGCGCTGCCCCCTGGCCTCTTAAGTGAGATGGGCGCACAACCCCAGAGTCTGTCAAGACTGGCCCGTACTGGCAGGGGTACCTTTACCTTTACTAACTACAAAATCAGCCTGAATATATTTTGGTTTATATAAAATGTATCAATTTGTTTAGTAGAAATTATTATTAGTAATAATAATAATAATAGCACAGGCATACACAGTATAAGATAACATAAGTTTTTCCAATTTGTTAACCATAGATGACAGAGAACATACAGAAGATCATGTGACTGCTCAACCCCATGAGACAGGTTTGTACATTATTTTGTCATACTATGCTAAAACCTGTTTATGTAATGGTGCTTATATATGAGTGTGCCCAGCATTGTTCACCAGGGCACATACTTTTTCTGATTACTTCTGTTCCGTTATATAACAATATGTCGTGAGCAGAACTATTTTATTAATTCAGTTTCTTAGAAACTGAAATGCACACCATAGTTCATTAGCCTATATTCATTTATCTACTTATTTATTTTATCATAAATTAAAAGTTTTTAAAAATGCTTTTAAAAGCCAGCCCTAACCTTGGGGTCACTGGCTCCTGGTATGATTATAGTGCCAGAGCCCTTGCTACATTCAAAGTTCTACTAGTACCACCCATCCAGGAGTTTGGGGTTGTTTTTTTTGCTTTGCTGTGCCAGCTCAAGATGGCTCCTCACCTGGACAGTGGGCTGGCTTAGGTTCTAGCAAATCCTTGGCCAAGCCTCTTTTTTTAATCCCTACTCTGCCCAGTTTTGAGGCCATGCATGGGTTATCAGTGGTGGGAACACTACTCTTGGTAGCTTTCCAGCTGTGCCTACAACAAGCACAGTGGTGACTTCTGTTGATGATGGAGCTCTTACTCCAGCAGAGCCAGTGGATGTGGGCACCTCCAACTCGTCCTTGGGTTAGGATATCCCTTAGATATCAGGGCAGTGTACAAAATAGCTTGATACAGTACAGTGTTAATGGATACCCATTTCTATAGCCTAGTCTAGCAGAGTGGTCAGACTATCCCTTTTTGAAGTTACCATTTCAGCAAACCCAACTAACTTTTCCAAGGGAAAACCATAATAGTTAAAGAAAGTGAATAAGCAGCAATTTACTAAGAGTGTAGTTATCATTTCTCATACATATGTGTATATAGAAAAAATATATAGATAGATAGATAGATATAGATAGTTGTACCTTGGTTGCCTTGCGACTCGAATGTTTTGGGTCCTACACCGCAAACTCAGAAGTGAGTGTTCTGGTTTGCAAGCGTTCTTTGGAACCCAAACGTCCAATGCAGCTTCCGTGGCTTCCGATTGCTGCAGGAGCTTCCAATAAGATCCAATAAAGGGTTGGTAGAAAACAACAGTGGAGTGAACTCACATCCACAATAATGGTCTTCTCAACGCCCTGTCTCTGGCATTGGGGAGAAGGAAAGCTTCAGCTATACATAATCTCCTGTCGGCAGAGTTTGTTTATAACCACCAAGGAAGATGCATGTGGTGGCTGCTACTGTTTCTGGAAGTCTCTGGCTCACATGGGGTAAGGCTCCTTTAACAGCAACATGGCAGAAAAGGTCAATGATGTTGACATTTGACTTACGAAAGCTTCTGAGTCGGCGCTTCTTTTCTGTTTAGGGGGCAAAAAAGGGACTTTGCAACCACTGCTGTATCTTGCTCATATCACAACCCACCCATGTGTTGCGTCTGCTTTGCCTTCACCTTGTTTATCTAGTATTGCCTTACTCCCAGAATGTGGGTATCATGACTTGGCAGGATCTGGATTCAGGAACACGTGCAGGCAATAGAGAGCCTATAGCCTGCACTTGGACTAAACAGTCAGCTTTCCAGGTACATCTTCAGTCGAAATGGAGTTGACACAAAGGCACAAAGTCTACTACTTCCTGGCAAAGAGGGACATGATCTTTTGATGTGAAAAGATTGCCAGAAACACAGCTGCAGTGACTGCTTATCAACACCAAATGTGGGAGAAATTTCAACTGCTTCAAACTCCCAGGGCTGGCGGTGGCCATGCCCCTCCCGGTTGGGCACCCAATAGGGAAGCTTGGCGGGGGCATGGCTTGCTGCTCAAACACAGCCCCTGCCAGCCATCCCCACCATTGCACCACCACATTTTCTCCCGAGTCACCCACCCTCCACTCCCTTTAGATTAGCTGTTCCTGAGACTTTGCTATGGACCTCTGGTTGGTCCGCCCTGTTTAACCAAGGGGGCCTGGTAGGAGTTTTTTCCAATTGGCTAATTGGCCCGCTCCTGGTTTTTTCCCCCGCCTACCTCGTAGCAACCGTCACAACTTTTGTGGTATTTGGCGGTTAGGCATTGGAATGTGTTGTTGGTGTTTCGGGGGGCAAGGTTGTGGCCATCGCCTTCCCCGGCAATTTTGGGTATTCCGCTAAAGGAATCCGGCGGTCGTGGATCCTGTCCAATGCCCATGTGGCGGGGGGCCATGGCACGACCCTCGGTGACATCAGAAAGAGAGCCTATAGTTGGATTAGCATCAACAGGCTTCCCCTACTAGTGGTTAACCCCCTCCTCAGACTCACCCCTCTATGAGTGGGTGGAGTCTAATGTTTCGTGGTCCAATGCCTAAGCCAACACCTTCTCACATGCTGTAATCCAGTGTTTCCCAACCTTGTGCCTCCAGCTGTTTTTGGCCTACAATTCCCATCATCCCTTGCCACTGGTCTGCTAGTCAGGGATGATGGGAGTTGTAGTTCAAAAACAGCTGGAGGCACAAGGTTGGGAAACACTGCTGTAATCAATAAAGTTGTGGCCTTTACCTTACCCATTAACCTTACATTCCTGTGTCCACGTGTCTTTATTCCCCAAGCGGGGAATCGGGTCCTCGAATCACAAAGCACATTGCTTTCTGTTTATTTTTGTTTTTATTTCAGCGTTTAACCCTACTTTTTGTTTTTGGGGAAATGGAATATTCTAAAAAACTATTCCAAGGCACAGTTGAGATAATAAAAGTCGTTGCCTGCAGGGCTCAGGTTAAATTTTTAAAAGAGCAGTATGGAAAAAATACCTCTGCGTCCCAGTTTTGGGGAATCACAGTGGTGAGAGTGCCTTTGTGTGCAGTTCATTGCTTTTGGGCATCCCATAGGCATTTGGTTGGTTACCTGCAACAAAAGAATGCTTGGCTACATCAGCTTGATTCCATCTGGCATTTCTAAAGAAATGTCAGTGGTGGATTAATTGAGTAGCATGTGGTAAATACTCTAGAAATAAATGTTGCTGCTGCAAAATAGAGTTGAGATGATCAGGTAACATTAGATTTGCAGATATGGTGAACTTCATGGATGACTGCAAGGGAAGTAGGAAAGTCTACAAGATGTGCCATAATCATCAGAGTTCCAGTTTTCATTGACTAAAAAAGAAGGCTACCACTGTTTGAACCAGAAATATGAGGCAAAATATGTAAGCACTGTTTTCCCTTGTTTTGTAAACTAGCATGATTGCCAGTGAATGAAAATCATTAGCAAATGAGTGGCATTAAGAAAAACAGATCTAGCCAATTAACACAAAGATATGGCTAGAGCAGGGGGAGCCAGCATGGTATCCCATATGTTGTTTGACTACCAATTCCTATCAGCTGCAGCCAGCATGCCAAATAGTTGAGAATGATGGTAGTTATTGTCCAGCAACATCTGGAGGATACTACGTTTGACTACTCCTGGGCTAGAGTCTAGTGAAGAAACTTGTTGGTTGGTTTTTAAGGCTTTTATGCTGGTCTCCTATGATGTAAAAAATGATTGCTGCTTCATAGAGAGCCATTCATGTATCCAGGATTTTAGTGTAGCTGAGTTTGGGGAGTCAACTCAAAAAAGAAAAGATAGCAACAAAGAGGAGATCGTGATCTTTCTAACTCAGGTTTTATTTAATACCAAAAAAGTGCCCCTTCCCATTTGTCAACATTAAAAAAGAAATCTTAATGCAGCTAAAACATATCGTTATTTTATCCTTACTGCAAGCCGGGGGAGGGGATGCAGAACACTATGGCTGAGTGTATGCACAATGTAATCTAGTTTTATATCAATATGCTGAAAAGTATAGGGAGTTATAGTACTTTATAACAACCCTGAAATATAGACCTTTGTTGTTACTCTGATGTGCTGGTGTTGTTGGGTTTGTGTGTGTGTGTGTGTGTGTGTGTGTGAGAGAGAGAGAGAGAGAGAGAGAGAGAGAGAGAATTAAGGGTTGATGGGAGTTAGTTGAGCCAGGGAAATAATTGTTGGTTTGAGTGGTCATCAAAAGGTGTCTGGATGCCAGGTCTACCCATCAGAAGCAACAGATGGAATATATGGAATATAAGTTCATCAGATGCAGGCCTAGGTCTTCTAGAAATTGTAGGCCTGTTCTCTCATACTAGTTACATTTGTTTGGAGTATTTGCTTTGCTGCTGCCTCTGGAAGGGGGGGGGGAATCCTTTGGATGGCCGTGGATGAGCTTAAAGTGAATCAAGAATGGATTGGAAATAAAGGCTTGGCTGTTGAGAAGAGAGTTGAAAAGGAGAGAGAAGCAGTAGAGAAGGAAAGATTGTTTCTGGTAGGAAGGTAGAAATGGAAGGAGAATATGAAGAGGACAAGTTTGAAATATCTAACAGAAAGTGAGAGAGTACAAAAAATTGTGATTGTAGCAAAGTTATGAATGTGTAAGCAGCAGAGAATGCATCTTGAAAATAAAAAGACTTTGGCAACTGGATAGTTGATGGAGTCAAACATAAGGCTAAGATTGTGATGGCGAAGATAAGGGCAACATTAACAGAATAAAAACAAAAAAATTCCTTCCAGTAGCACCTTAAAGACCAACTAAGTTAGTTCTTGGTATGAGCTTTCGTGTGCATGCACACTTCTTCAGATACGGTTGATGGACTTCCATTTCATGCAGCTCAATGTGGTGCCTTCCATAGTTCCAGTTACAGACAGGTATCTGAAGAAGTGTGCATGCACACGAAAGCTCATACCAAGAACTAACTTAGTTGGTCTTTAAGGTGCTACTAGAAGGAATTAACAGAATAGAGATTCATCCAGTTAAATTTATATTGGGTGTGGGGTCATGGCACTCTCCTGCAGCATGTGAAGTAGCAGTTCTATAGGCACAGCAAGTCAGATGACCATTTAATTGGGGCAAGCAGCACCTGTTCGTATGCGAGCGGCACAGTAGTAAAGCACACTGTAGCTCCCATTTTGTTATAAGTGGCTAGCGCTGCCTTCAAATTCAGTGCCTTTTCTTTATCCATACTGTTGCGTCTAATCAGTGAAACAGGCCACAACTGTGTGTGTGTTTGGCCACCCAATGTGCAATAACTGCAATTGATCCACAGAATTGCACAGG